GTTAAAATTCAAACTAGTGAAAAAAACATTTAATAAAGTTGGGTGGAGAACATGTTATTCAGCCTCGTTAAAAATTATAAAGTCGGTATTATAGTCTTTTTGTGGCTTTATCTCTGTCAAGTAACGTATCTTACTAACGGATCTTAATCATGGGTGGGAAATTGTTTTTTTTTTTTTTTCAAACTTTTTGGGTGGAGAATATTTACGCCAGACCTTGGGGGGGAACTTGTAATTCTGCCGGAAAATTATATAAAGCATAAAATTAATGAGAAAAATATTTAAAATGAGTAGAGCGTTGTTGTTTACGTCTGTCCTCTTGAGTCTCTGAATTCCCAGGTACTCAATTTCTTGATCTCTATCTAGAATGTATATTCTTTGATTCTATATCTAGTTTGTCCATTATTTTCACTTAAAACAGCTTTTAAGTTGATGGGTAATTTGAGTGTTCGACGAAATGTCTCACTGAAACATTTACTTGCAGTTCAATTGGAACGTCTTTTTTTTTTTTTTTTTTGGTAGGGTGGGTTGTTTGCATGAACAGAAAAAAAAATCTCTACTTAATATATGGAGAGTAGGCAAGGGACAAAATCCAAACTTTTTTATATCTTTAATATTAGAGAATTTCCAGTAGTTGTGTCGTGTTGGGTATACTTAGCCAATCAATCAACATAGAAGGGTCTAGCCGATGTCTCTTTTTCAAATTTTCAATGTAAATTATATTGATACTTGAAATTGAAACATATTTTACGTTTAGCTTGGCTGCCTTCATAAGTTTCTTGCTAATTAGTGTGAACAACATCAACACCACCCTCCAACTTCTGAAAAAAAGATTAAACTTAAAAATAAAAACGCGATTGTGTTGAGAATTCTTCATTGAAATTGTTAATAGACTTTTGCTTATGCAAATGTCAAATATTTATTTTTCAATGACTTTCTATTGGTTTTGGTTTTGTATTTATTTCTTGTAGTTTCGTACTAGGAGTGAATCGTAGAAGTTTTATGATTACTAGGTCTGTGCTTGGTCGTCTGAGTGAGATTGTATGACAAAATATAATGATCAAAGATGAATGTAGTATTATTTATTAACTCGATTCTCTACCTCAAAATGCAGACATGACCATTTGCAGCTTATTGTAAGTTACCTCTTAATCGTGGATTGTGGTAATTTTGCTTTTTCTTGGTAATTATTTCTCTATTAGGTTTTGGATAATTTACATCATTTTGAATTTGTCTTTTTGATTAATTTTTCTTATTGTAGTTACATGATGACATGAACTAAACTGGCAGAGTGCTTAGCTTCACCTCACTAGGAAGGCACATTGGGTTTGTATAGAGAAGTGTTATGTACTTAATTCTAGGAAAACTTTGTGCCCAAAGTTATATATGGTATATTGTCTTCCTTTTCATTGAAAATGCTTTATTTTCAGAAAGGGGCAAGGCTGGTCTATCAAGGCAAGAAAAAAAAAAAAAAAAAAATGAAACAAAGCAGTGAGCATAGTTGTACTAGAGTAACATTGAGTTGGGATTAGTCCAGGGTGTTTGTCAAAAACTTTCCGTTTTCAGGTCTTTCAAACCTTTCTTCTTGGCCTATAGGTCTGGACCATCTAGTTTCCAGTTAATGTACAAGTTGAGGAGGCTCTGAATGATTGACTACAGTGGTCCTGGATCACTGAAGTTCATACTGTGGTCCTCAAAAAAAGGTGCAGCTAGATAATAGTAGGTTGCTTGACCAGGGACCAGGGAGTTTTTTGTGCCTAACTTCTTTTCTCTCTCATTTTTGAGACTCCACATCCAAGTCTTTTTTATGTCTTTATTAAATATCAAATTGGAGAATGGTACTGTTGAGCTATGCAACCTTAACTGCAACATTGAAACTCTGTGATCATCGTCCGAATCTAGTTCAATATTCTCAATTGTCTTGATTTGGCTGTCACTTAACCTCTATTGGCCATCCTTATTCACATAACCTTTATTGGACATCCTTATTCACAGAACCTTTGACCATTCTTTAAGAAGATGAGCCTTGGAGATTTGTGTCTCAGATTCAATGTCATGATTGTATCAATTGCATCCTAGCAAGGTTTACTAACTGAACATGCATGCATATTCCTCTAGATTGAATGAAAATATATGTCTAGTCTTACAAATCTTTGTTAGTTTGCGGGACATTGCTTATGCTTATACACAGAAAGTTATACTTCTGTTGTAAAATGTTGCTATGTTATCGTTGAATTGCTTTTGCAGAACACTTGTTCTCTTTATCTTATTTATTTATTTTTCCTCATTGGAATAGGCTGAAAAGTGTGATCTACCATTTTGAGGGAATTGAGAGTTTTCTCAGTCAAAAGGATTTTTTTGTTTGAGATCTGGATTGTATATTTGATCATGTAGACATTTACATAAATTTCTTTCCACTACTAATGGAGTGTCTACTTACCAGATCTTGAGCTAGATTAGATAGCTAGACGGAAAATCGAATTAATAGTTATGGAAAGGCAGAAAGTACTTTGTATACAGACTATACAGACTCATGAGAGTCTTCGAGTGCAGGGGCATTCAATCAATCTTAGATTGGATGTATGAAGGAGAATGGGTCTTATTATTCCTACATATTAGTAACATTCCGTTTGAGACTTTCAAAGAAAAGTGTCACTGCTTATTTGTTTAATGTTTCCTAGTTCTACTATAAATCATATAAGAACTTATTATACCTTGTTATACGTGGATTTATGAGTTTTTGATATTTATTGGCGTCTTTCATCCAAGGTCTTGGGTCAGAATCCCTTTTTGACTCTTTACATAATTACTATATGTATATGACCAAATAGAACGCTTGTTTTCTTTTTTTGAATTAATAAAGAATTAAGTCTTTTTTTCTTTTGCCAGGTATAGGGAGCCCTCCTGATCAAATGGATCCTAAAGCTCTTTTGCTGCAAAAGTTCATGTCGTAGCTCGAGAATGAGTGAGTTTGTAGTCTGTGCTTGAATGATAGTGTACAGTAATAACCTGTCATAATTTTAACTTCTCAAAATGTTCTTCTTTGCATTGCACAAACAAGTATTATGAGTTAGGTAGCTTGTATACTTTACTAATGAAGCTCTTTATTTACATCATATACTGTTAATTCTCTGTTATCATATTTTGAAAGTGAATTTCTTAATTTTTGAAACAAATCAAATTTCTATTGGATCCAAGCATTTTTTTTATTTTTTTTATTTTTTTTACTGACTTTGAATATATTTGAATGTAGTCATTTTCTTCTCTCTTGTGTAGAAGATGAAAAATAATGTTCATATATGTCTTCATTGAATTTGGCATGCTATGCTTTGTGTTGAGTAGTTACAAGATCATTATTTAATTTACAATAATGTTCTGTGTTTTCTTGAACAAGATCGATGGTGCTTTACTAGGAGGCATTGAAGTATTGAAGGCTCTTTTATCTAAAGGGTTGACAGTGAGTGCTAGACATTTCAACACACAACAAAAATATAAGCATATAAGATTGCAAACTATGCAGACTTGAGTTATCTGTTCTGTCGAGTATCAACCATGAAGGTATGGTATGGATGGTCATTTCAGGAAGCCTTTGAATAACATGAGCGAACATGTAAAAACAACAGCGACAAGAAGAGTGAGAGTGAGAATTTTCTGACAACATAATTGAAATGAATGTGCTATTACTTAACTTTGTTATGTAAAATGATGAGCAATTGAGAGTTTTTTGCTTTAATTAAATTAAATGCATAAAATGTACCGAATCTATTGCCAAATAATAGATCTTGATGACTTTTCAGTTGTGTTCCTAGGTGTTGCCTAGTGGAGGGTACTAGAAGGAATGAGTGATCCTTTGATATGGGTTTGATTTTGCTGGGCAGGGGTGCCGCGCTGGGGGTTAAACGGTTGATCTTGGTTTTTAAAGCTGCGTTTATTTTTCATGCAGGTTCTAGTGAGCTGATCCAGTTGCCTATTGGGAGGATTTCATGCGTGAGTAAGGAAGGTTATTGTAACCTTATTCTGATGCCTGCTGGGAGGTTTTGGTGTGATTGTGAGGTAGCTATGTGGGAGGATGTCTATGTTCAGGTGGGGAATTGGGGTTGCAGCATAAACCCTATTCTTGGGGGTGGTCGAATACTGCCATCTCTTTTTTCTTTTTTCACTCAGGAGCTGCATGTGTTGCAGATAGAAGTAACGGGTGGTATTGGATGTGGGCTGTACATTATGGGATTCTGCTGATTATTTTTAGTTTTGTGTGTGTTGATGCTTGCTACTGCTTGTTTGTATTTCTTGAGTCACTGTCTTCTTGGGCAGCGCAGCTTAGGATGTTTGTTGGTGCTGATTTTGAGTCTAACGTTGTTTGCCGTCACTTGTTTGTTAACCTGGAGTATGTGGCAGGATGGATGAGTATGTGGATTGACAGTTGGCAGGCTAGGAGTGTGGGATTTGACTGCTGTTTCTGGGTTTGTGTAGGTTGGCAGTGGAGTGTTTTGGTTTTGTCTTTTTTGACAGGTCTGGATCTCCTCTTCGGGCTGCTGGTCTTGGTGGTTTTGAGGGCTTCGATGTTGAGGGCAGCAGCGGTGTTAGCAGCAGGCAGTCTTTGCCTTGTCTGCTGTTTCTGTTCGGTTTCATGGCGCTGTGGAATGTTGGGAGGTTCTAGTTTGGCTTTTGTTGCAGGGGGAGTGGAGGTCAGCAGGTGCTTGCTGGGCTGGTTGGTACAAACATTTTCTCGGCTGCTGCATTTTGCTGCTATTCTGGTGTTCTCGCCTGCTGGTGCATGCAGGTTTTTTGTGCAGACTTTCTGGTACTTTTTGGTTCTTTTGTGCCCCCTGGGGTTTTAGGCAGTGCAATAATGCTACGGACACCGAAAAATTTGCACCGAAAATTTGTACCGGCCTACGTGTACCAGCCACCTGATTTTTCTATTAATTTTTTTCTAGTGAACGGCAGTCCATCGTTCACTCACATGGACCCCCGTCCATATTATATGGATGGGGGTCCATATACCAGGGACGGGCGTCCCCATTTAAAGGACTCCCGTCCATAAAGAAAATACAATAAAAAATTTTCTAAACATTAGGGATGGTCGTTCATGACGGGCACCCGCAAATAAGAGACGCCCGTCCTTAACCAAAATATGAAAATAAAAAAAATAAAAACTTTTGGGACGGTCGTCCATAAATTTTGGACGGTCGTCCCTCACGTTTGGACGGGCGTCCATTATGAATGGACTCCGGTCCCTTACGATTGGACGCCCATCCACACTTTAAAAAAAAAAAAAAATTCTTGTAAAGTATGTCCACGTTTCGACTCCTCTTCTTCAACAACTCTTCTTCTTCTCCCTCATCGTCTCGAAAACGTCCTCGTTTCGACTCCTCCGTCTGTCCCAATCATGTACTATCGCCTCCTGTTCAACCGCAACGTGAGTTGGCTCGTTAGTGTCGACAAAACAACAGCAACAAGGTTCGGTGCTTGCAAAAGCTGATGCCATGTGAGAAGAAAATGGATACTGCTACGGTGCTACCACGCTTGAAGAGGCCTATAAGTATGTTAGATTCTTGCAAAGTCAAGTTAACACTCTCCAATCAATGCCTCTTGAGTCTAGCTTTGCTCTTCAAAACGAGTTCTTCAGCTTTTCTGCAGTGTTAAGAAGATACCATTGGTAAGAAGAATCTGCATTGTTAAGAAAGTTGTTTCTTTCCTCTTCTCTCATGTGGTCAATTTTATGTTTGTTTAGTAATATGTATTCCTTGGTAGACACTGAATGCTGCTTTTCATTTTTTTAGTTGAACAAGGGCACAAGTTCAGATGTTAGCTCAGTCTCTGGATTGAAAGACGGAGAGAAAGTGCCATCCTCTGGTACTGGAATAATGCAGGGAACAGGATCAACAACTGCAAATGCTTTATCATCTGGTGCAATGCCTAGTTCATCAAACTTACAAGCTGCCGCAGCAGCTTCTGTGAAGCCACCTGCAAGGTTTTTTTGGATTAACTCCCATGTAGATTACTTAATAACAATTAAATTTCATCTTTTCCTTCACCACAAGATTCCCACATGCGCCATATGTCATTCATGGGGAAAGCTGTCATCATCTTCAACATTAAAATATTTGAATTAGCAGACAAATTTTCTTCCAATTTTTTAAGTCATTGGAGCTTGATTCTTCATGTATAAATGGACACGAGTCCTTGTACTAGTTCTAGTTTGAAGTTTTCTGAATCAGACAGTTAAATTTTTAAGTTTAGCCATGCACATGTGTCGATATCCTCTCATCAACAACAAATCTCAGCTTATGATCTGGTTTCATTTCTTTTACATATAACAACTCAAAAAGATCCTATCCAAAAGATCTGTTTTTTGTCTCTTAATGTAAATATCTCTACCTTCTTCCTCCTATTAATTCGCTTCGTCACTCTGTTTTCTTCATTGTAGCAGTGATAGATAATATTGAACTTTGGAGCAAAGTATCATGAATCGAGATCCGGAACTGGAAGCCAGTTTCTCTTTTGGCGGTCAGGATTTTAGCCCCGCGCTCGCTGCCTTCTCTGACGAGGAGGATGGTAACGATGACCAGTACATCGAGATAGCTCTTGAGCGACCCATGAATGGAGATCATCCTGATGATGGGTCTAATCAGTTGGAATTTTGTATATCGTTTTCATCTTCGGTTCCATTTCTGCAACTCCCTAACTGCGGTTTGGCTCGTGCCAATACCGTGGACAGTATTGGGAGTGTGGACAGTTCAGTTCCTTTTCTACCCATCTAAGGTTTGGCTTGTGCTGATACTGTGGACAATATCGCGACTGTTGACAGTATTGGAACTGAGTTCTCCGACGCTGTTACAACTCCTTTATCGACGTCGTCCTCATCAACCTCTGCCTCCACTTTGGGCTTTTCTTCTGCGGACACACGACGCAGGAGTCGAAACGAGGACGTTTTCGAGACGATGAGGGAGAAGAAGAAGAGTTGTTGAAGGGTGGACGATGAGGGAGAAGAAGAAGAGTTGTTGAAGAAGAGGAGTCGACACGTGGACATACTTTGCAAGAATTTTTTTTTTTTTTTTTTTAAGTGTGGACCAGTCCAAACGTGAGGGAAACGTAAGGGGCGTCCGTCCAAACGTAAGGAAACGTAAGGGACGGACGTCCAAAATGCCGTCCAAAATTTATGGACGATCATCTCCAAAGTTTTTTTTTTTTTTTTTTTATTTTCATATTTTGGTTAAGGACGTGCGTCCCTTATTTGCGGGTACTCATCCAAAATGAAAGAACGGTCATCTATAACGGATGAATGACCGTCTCTAATGTTTAGAAAAAATTTTTATTGTATTTTCTTTATGGACGCGCGTCCTTTAAATGGGGACGCCTGTCCCTGGTATATAGACTCCCGTCCATATAATATGGACAGGTGTCCATGTGAGTGAAAGATGGACGGCTGTTCACTAGAAAAAAATTAATAGAAAAATCAGGCGGCTGGTACACGTAAGCCGGTACAGATTTTCGGTGTAAATTTTTCAGTGTCCGTAGCATTATTGTAGGCGGTGTTTATAGCTTCGTCTTCTTTGAGGGCTTTGTGTATAGTGTAACGAATCCCACGTCGAAAGTGTATTAGAGAGGTCCTGGATTTATAAATGAGGAGAGTCCTTCCATGTAATATGTTAGTCTTTTGGGCTTGTAATAAGTGGTACCAAAACAAACTCGGTCTATCTTTTGATGTCCTACCAAGCACTCATGTAAGGGTGTCCACGTGTGATTGTGAGTCCACACAAGAGTGAGGTGGACGGGTAGACAAGAGCCCCTACCTATGATGAGGGCATCACAGGATTGGGTGAGAGAGAATGTAACAAGTCCCCATCGGAAGCATATTAAAGAGGTCCTGGTTTATAAATGGGGGGATTCTTTTTTAGCTGCTGTTCCCTTGCTTTTGTTCCAAGGATCGTGATGGCAGCAGAGCTTCCCCGGTCAGATATAATTCTCTATTCTTTATAAAATTACTAATTACCGAAAAAAGATATAACCTTACTCTCTTGATGTTTATAAACCTTGCATATTCATCGAATGCCTCTCCTGATGTGGCTTCAAGCTTTAAAAATAAATGAAAACATAACCCATTAACTTCAACAAAAAAAAAAAACAAAGCACCGCGTAAAGGACAGCCAAAATTTACCCAAGTACTCCACGAAACCAGGCAGCATCTAAATATCTAATGATGTAGCTAGTATCGAAAAATACAAAGCTAAAAGATTTTTCTCTTTAATTTAAAAGTTCTTTCGATTTTATAAATATGTAATAATAAATTGACAAATAAAGGGCAATTTTGTAATTTGACCTTATAAGTTGACATTTGACTGTTGATAACTTATCTGTAACTTGTGATAAATTTCACATGATAATAAAGAAGGCGAAAGATATATATTCAAATCAGATATTTATTATTAAACACAAACATAATACAACATGTCAAACGATCCGATTATCTTACAATACAATACTGCATATTTTGACAAGATAATACAGAAGCCGATAGAAGATATATATACAAATCGGATCTTTATTATTAAACGAAAAAGTAACAGCGATCCGATTGTCTTACAATACAATACAGCATATCATATGTTGCGATCCGAATTTGATAGAAAGGTGTCACTGCATATCAAATTCGGTGCAAGTGAAGCAGTTCCACATGTTGTGGCAACAATTCACAGTATGAACGCAGCACATCCAACGTTGAATGCTGCACAAGGAGAACAAAATTTATTAAAAAAAAATAGAAAAAATATATAGTTTACAAAGAACTGTCATGCCTGGGAAATCAAGGACTGACGTGGGAAATCACGTGATGGAGTGTGACCTGCTCCTGTCAGAACGGTAAGCGCGCGCCAGACCTGCCAGACGCTGTGGAGATCCCACGTGTCAATTCCCTGCTCCAAATCGCGTGAAATCAGTTTGGAAGGTGGGTAATGTGACATAAAGCCGGATTTTGTCCTGACATTCACACCAACCCACAGATTTAATGATGATTACTTGCACTCATCTCACTATAAAAAGGAGAAGACCCCTTCATTGAGGGGATTCGGGCATTTTACACTCTGAATTAGCTATCCCTCTCTCTCTCTTGTATCTTTGCATTTACTTTTCACTAGTCATTTGTAAGTCAGTCCGCTGTTGCGAACTGACCCACAATATTAATACAACTATCAGTGGACGTAGGACTTGCTACCTTAGCATCCGACCCACTTTAAAAAGCTCTCACTACTACATTTACTACACACTTTATCCATACTCACGTGTGTCTCTTGGCCAACCAACGTTGCGCACGTGTCGATTAGTTGGTGTCAAAATCACGCATCAACAGTTTGGCGTAGGAAAGAGGGCCCGATTTAGTGTTCATCCTTCATCAGGAGAATCTCTAACCTACTGGTCCTACAGCAACAAATGGCCCGCCAATCTGAACCTGAGCAAGCCAACCAGCGCGCTGAGGGAGTTCCCCTAACCCAAGGGGATACCTTTTCCAAGATACTTCCAATTCCACAAAATGCTGCGGTGGATATCCCAGTAACTTCGCAACTTGACCCCGCCATCAGAAGCTACCTGGAGAGATTCGACAGTACTCTCCAGACGGTCAACCAAAGGTTGGACCGTTTGGACCAAGGCGTGCCATCTAGAACAGCTAGGGCGGTGCAACCGTTAAAAACGCTTGCAGGTTGCACGAAAGCGTGGCAAAGGGAAATAGCCCATGCCGCGAGCACTGCAGCGCGTAAACGTAAGGGTAAGCAAGTGGCAAAAAGCAAACCTACGGGCTCCAAAGGGCCAGCAAACACAAACCATGCCCCAAGCAGGGTGCCGGCAAAGCTGAGACTCAGCGAAAAAGTAAATCTCGAGCTGTCCCATGCCACGTCATAGGTGAACCCAAGCAAAAGTGCTGGGCGGGGCGATTCTTATCACCGCCAGCAGAACGATCTTGATCGCTATCATGCGAGTGGTCCCCACACCTCGCGGGGCAGTTCGTACCACTGCAAGGGTCGTGAAAATACCTCGCACCATCCATCGCCTTCACACGCCTCTAGCCAGCGTGTGTCAAGAGCAGCCAGAAGTGCCGGTCGAGGCGAAGAGGATTCCGACCTCCGGACTTTCCTGAACCATAATCGCGAGGGTCGGACTCGCATGGGTGAAAGCAATCCCCAACTGGCTCCGTTACCACAAATTGAGGAGCTGCAGCGAGCTCTAGACAGACTGAGAGAGTAGCAAAACGAGCAGGCCCAGGTTGCATTTGCATCCCCCTTCTCTCCCGAAGTGTTAGCTGCTCCACTCTCACCGGGGTTCAGGATGCCCGACATGCGGCCGTTTGATGGGAACCATGACCCGCAGGATCATTTGTATGAGTTCAAAAACCTGATGGAACTTCACCAGTTTTTGGATCTTGCAAAATGCCGTTGTTTGGCCGTGACTTTAACTTCTCATGTCAAACGGTGGTTAAGGTCACTCCCGGCGGGATCGATCAGTTCGTGGCCTCAGATGAGCATGACGTTCCTACGGCATTTCCAAGCAAATCAAAAGTTTTCGATGCCCTTGAGCTATCTTAACAACATAAGGCAAGAAAGGGATGAATCCCTACAATCCTACATTGACTGTTTCCACAGGGAACTCAACAAGGTGGCTCATGCTCTCGAAGAGTCCATCCGAACACTCATAATAGCTGGAGTTCGCCTGCAAACCGACCTGTGGAAAGAATTACAGGTTGAGGACGATGTTTCCCTCGCCAGATTCTATAACGTTGCCGAGAAATACCTCCGGATAGAAAATTCTCTGGCGATACTCCGCCGTTGCGACTCCGGCGCTTCTGGCAGTATGTCTGGTAGGTGGGAAAGCCGAAGGGCTGATTGCGGAGGGGCCACCGACAATCAGCGAAAAGGGAAGAAACCTCGTTATGAGCCCAGAAAGTCCTATGCACCCGTTCCTCGTCGCGATCACGACAGGCACTAATATACTCCACTGAACGCCTTTGTATCTACCATTCTTGATAAATCCGAAAAAGCCAGTCTGCTTGGAAACCCCGAGCCCATGAAAACCCCTGCGACAGCCAGAAAAAATAAAAAGTACTGTCGCTATCATCGGGACAATAGACACCATACTAATGAGTGCCGAGCTCTGAAACAAGCAATTGAAAAGCTTATCAAGAAGGGGTATTTCAAGGAATACATCGATGACTCTGCGCCCTTGAAAAAAAAAGATCGGGGGGAGCCGAGTAAGAAGCGTCGCGATCAGAAAGGGGTATTCAGTCTCAATTTGATTTTCGGGGGACCGCACTTCGCTGGAAATTCGCGAGGTGCCCTAGAAAGGTATGCTTGCGAAGCACATCATGACCCCATTAGAGTGATGAGTGCGGAACAACGACCACGAAAGGTTCGCAGGGAGGTGGAAATCTCCTTCTCTGAACGAGATGCGGCCAGGTTGCATCATCCCCACGATGATGCCCTTGTAATCACTCCCCTGATAGGGTGCTATAACACCCAGAGAATGTTAGTAGATAACGGAAGTGCTGTGAACATCCTGTTCGCATCCACTTTTGAAAGGATAAATCTGGACGAGGCTGACCTGAAGCCTGCCTCATTCCCACTGTACGGATTCACGGGAGACCATCTACTCCCCAAGGGAACAATCTCACTCCCAGTCACGCTGGGCGATTTTGACGAAGTGACCAAGGTAATTGAGTTCTTAGTGGTAGACTGCCCATCAGCCTTCAATGGGATTCTTGGGCGACCTCTGCTAAGAAGTTCAAGGCGGTAACTTCAATTTACCATCTGAAGATGAAGTTCCCCACTCCGACGGGGATCGGGGAAGTTAGCAGGTCTCAGCGCGCATCGCGCGATTGCTATGTAAAAGCAATCCAAATGGCGTACAAAGGAAAAGGCACCTCGCGCGGCAATCACAGGCAAGCCATGGCAATCAGCAGGATCGATCCATGACCTGGTCCGATTGAGGACAACCTAGACCCTCGCATTCAAGACTGCCCTTCCAGTGGGCCAGTTGAGGACCTAACTGAAGTGCTGGTCGACCAGAAAGAGTCGAGCAGGGTGTTAAGAGTCGGTAAAAATCTCAATTCCTAGCTCGCTACCGAACTGACAGGCTTCCTTAGGGAAAACATCGATGTGTTCGCATGGTCGCACGCAGATATGGTCGGGATCAGCCCGGATGTCATTTGCCATGCATTAAATATCGATAGTGAAGCCAAACCAGTTCGCCAGAAATGAAGAACGATGGACCCAGAGCGGTACTCCGCCCTAAAGCTAGAGGTGGACAATCTCCTCAATAACGGATCCATCCGGGAGGCACTATACCCGACCTGGGTCACCAACACGGTTCTGGTAAAGAAGCCCAATGGCAAGTGGTGAACCTGCGTCGACTTCAGCGACCTCAACAAAGCTTGCCCTAAAGACAGCTTCCCTTGCCAAGGATTGACCAGCTCGTGGATGCCACCTCGGGGCACGAGCTACTAAGTTTCATGGACGCATACTCGGGGTATAATCAGATTCTGATGTATGCTCCAAACAAAGAGCACACATCTTTCATTACAGATCGGGGACTGTATTACTATAAGGTCATGCCCTTCGGCCTCAAGAACGTTGGCGCGACCTACCAGTGGCTGGTTAACCGGATGTTCTCCGACCAGATCGGCAAGTCAATGGAGGTCTACGTAGATGACATGCTGGTCAAATCCCATGTCGTTTCAGATCATGTAGCACATCTCGCAGAGATCTTTGGTATCCTCCGGCTGTACAGAATGAAACTGAACCTGCTTAAGTGTTCGTTCGGAGTATCCTCGGGTAAGTTCCTAGGGTACATGGTTAACCAGCGGGGAATAGAAATTAACCCCGAAAAAATTCAAGCTCTCCTC